AGGAGCCTCAAAGAGGCAAAGAAATTTATATGTTAAATGTGTTTGGCAGAGTTGTTGACTCCAGTCCCACAACTTGAACTCGAGTCCGACTTAAGTCAGCTAGGTGACTCAACCTGACACTCGACTCGCGTTCATTGAGACTTGTTAATTTTGTTAAATCGACTTGGTGAAAAAATTGTCAGAAAATGCCGATATTGATGGCTTGTACAAAAGTGACTTGACATTTTTTAAATTAAGACTTGAAACTCGGCTTGGGACTTGACTCGAAAGTGACTTTAGGGACTCGAGACTTGAACTGCAGTGACTTGAGGCTCGACTTGGACTTGACAATGACGACTTGAAGACAAGGTGTTTGGATAAGAAATCCAGAATCTAACCGATCCCAGCTATGGTTTTAAAAAAACAAAACCTGAACAACCACATTTTGCAAGACCAAAATGGAACTCTTCATCAGGGTGCCTTGTGAGATTGGGTGTGATGGCATACGAAATCAGATGCCCCCAGGATTTGTGCCAGGGTTTATATGCCCTGCTATGAACCCTTCTGATTATCACCAGAACCTTTACATTCTTATACACACACAGTATCAACAAAAGACAAGACTATGCAACACTTTAAAGACTAACAAGATGGTTTATTAGGCTACATCTCTATTACAGTATCAACAGTGTCACATCCTCCCTGCCCTCCATCCTGGTTCTGAACATGTCTAATGCTTTCCATAGGACAATCCTATCCAACTCGGCAACTCCACCTCTTGATGAGCTGGAACGAGTTAGTCCATATTACTCAGAAAGCTGCTAAGAGTGAGTGATTTCAAAATAATTTTCATTTACATAATATTTGAACCAGAATATTTTTTTGTTTTACAAACATTTTCACATACATTTCAATATATTAAAATTGGTTTTCAAACATTTTTCATTTAGCATGTGTATTAAAAATGAACAATTTTAAAAAAGGATTTATTTTACATGTTTAAACTTTTTTAAAAATCTCACCATGTGACTAAGTTGACAAATAAAAAAATACATGTAGAAGTTTTTTCCTCACTCTGTTTTTCATTTTATCTTATTTTCCTCTTTTCCTTCTGCCTATTTGATTGGCCATTTTAGTCACACATCAGGATTTCAAAAAAATGCATTTAAAAATGAAAAAATTGTTTTGGGAAGTTTTCTATTTTTTAAATAGGCAAAAATGAAATTTTTTATAATACTGATTAAAAATTATTAAAAATTGGTCATAGTAAAGAAACACAGGTACTGAATAAGGTTTGTTAATACTTGTATGGAAAGATAATGAAGGAAAATTGTTTAATAAAAATAGCAAAACCACATTTAAAAAAAATGTAAAAAGAGCATTTTTAATTAAAATTGTTGGTTAAAAAATTTCAACTGGCTCCTATATTAGCATTCAAAAACCCTAGACCCCTGTAGACTCCATTAGAATTCTTCAGATGGTCTCCTGGTTTTTACTGCTTACTGTTGGCATCTTCTGTCCTATTATTTATTCATTTATTTATTCAGGTGGTCCAGGACCCAGCCAACCAACAGAATGATTCTGTTTTTCCAAACCCTAGTTGCTGACTATAATTTCCATTAGGAGAGAAACCCATGGCAGGGATGTAAGGGTGCATCTACACAGCACCCGAAACTCGAAATAAGATACACAATTTACACTACAGGTCTATTTCAAAATAGCTTATTTTGTCATTTGGTGCTGTCTACACAGCATCACATTCTGAAATAAAGCACTATTCTGAGCCATCCCTTATTCCTCATAGAATGAGGTTTACAGGGATGGCGAAATAGCGCATCCACTATATTTTGAAATAGTGCACGCATTCAAAAGACATGGGATAGCTATTACAGGATATCTGTGGTATCCTGAAATAACTTTGCTGCGTAGACATACCCTAAATGACTAGTTGGCAACCTGATAAGTATAAGCTTGTCGGACAGTCGAGTAGTCACACGACTAGTCACTTCCCCCCCACACTTGCTGCTTCTATCAGAGACAATCAACAAGGAGGGTGGCGAGCAGGAGCCGGTGCTGGGAGGAGCTGGCTTAAAAGTCAGTCCCCTCCAGCACCATCTCTGCGGGGGCATCGGAGGCAGAGGCATCCCTACTGCTGCGCTTCTCTCTTTGAAATGTGCAAAGCCACTTTTTTCGAAAAAACAAAACAAAAACCCTGTTGTCTAGACACACCCTTTGTCACAGAATCAGAAGGCTAGTTTCACAAGTATAGTATCAGTCCTTCAGTTCTGAGAGTGATCATGCCTGATAGTTTCCTTTTTATTTTCAGCAAAGCTGCTGCAGCTTTAGAGAAAATTTAATTAATTAAAATATATAGTCATCATGCTTAAGAGCATCCCAATTTGCCTTTAAATTACCTTAGTTTTTCCCATAGGGAAGACTAGGGCTACTGTAAATACTGAAGTAATATTAGTTGGATATCTAAGGTAATTATACATTTTAAGCATGACAAATATATGTAAAATCGCCCCCAAGATGCATTTTTGCAGGAACACTGCAAAAATATAACCATTAAAAGAGAATGGTGCTAATTCACATTATTGCTTAGAAACAACTAAATTTCCGAAGACTTTACCTCCTCTGTAGCTGCATTTTCAAATAATCTTAGCTGAGGCCAGATTTTCAAAAGCCTTAGATCTGGTCACAATGGTAGTTTAGAAATATTGAGCACATTTGAAAACTCAGTCCTAATTTAGGTACATAAATGGAAGCTAAGGTCAATGAAAACCTGGCTGTAGTTGTGATTGCCAGAAAATCTGGTCCTATGAGAGAATAAGAGTCCTTACTGAATCAACACAATACAAAAGTAAGGCTAATACATTCAAGATACTTTTTTGGTGTTGTGGGTTTTTTTTTTTTTGACAGATCGCTTTAAATTATTTATGATCATGCTTCCTATTGGACATGTAAATGTTCTGGATTATTTAAAAAATAATATTTAGTAATATTTTAACTCACAACAGCACCCAGAAAGCATGCAAGGTACTAAGAATGAAGTGAGAAATTATCAAGGTACAACTATATAGTTTTTCAGTTTGGGTACATGTATATCTTGATGGTTCAGTTAAGGCCATTTTAAATATTTATTATTGATTCACTTCTTGTGAGCACTGTGGGAAAAATGAGTCTTAAGGAGAAACTGTTATTAAATCGTTAATGATGAGAGTTGGGGAGAAACCCCCTGCATACATTTATGAGTTTCCCCTGAGTCTAGTTCTAAATGATATAATATACTCCTGTATAGTGTATTTGCTAGTGTGCTGGAATCATAGTGGAGTTTTTAATTGAGCATATTTCCTGGAACAGAGACTGAAGGCCCCATCCCATTAAAGTATACAATTTTGCAAGTGATTTCTTAATGAAAAAGTCCCTTTGAATATAAATGAATGATGGTAGCCCAGTTCTCAACAAGAACTCGTTGAAAACGTCTGAAATTAAATATTTTAAGAAGAAATATGGACACTTTTTTTTGTTGCAAAAATCATTCCTATTTTTCAACCGTACATAGTCACTATGCCACAGAATTAAAGAAAGAAAGAGATGAGAAAGATCTCTTATCTTGTTCACATGAAGGTGTCTCAAACCTGTGATCACTTCATAAGTGAGATCTTTTTACAATCCACCTCGATCCAAAAAACACCAAATCCCAAACCATTTGGCTCTCAAAATCTTCCATTCGGTGGACCAAAGAGAAAGTTCCTTGGGTCACTGATGATTCATTAATCCAGTATCTCTCTGTGCCTGGGTAGACCAGGAACTATACTACGACAATACTTGTGCATTGAATGTTTTAAGCTCTGAGGCTTAGCCCATTTCTCTTGAAAGATTTTTTCAAAATGCATGGGACTTCTACAAGTTTGAAATATCAGAGGATGCTGGTAATAGGCCTGATGTGCACGGGCAGAATTGTGTGCTGGCTATGGGCTTGATAAACTGGGGAGCTTGCAGATCAAAGCGGAGGAGTAAGCTGGAAGAAGGAGGGAACAGTGGCTGGAAATCAGGCCTGAAGTTTATTGGCTGCAAAGGGTGAAGACCAGTACTAAAATAATCAGATGTTTTGCTGTTTAGGTTTATTCAGATTGGCAAAGACACATTGGAATCGAGGACTTTAAAACAGATTTAAATCCAAACTCAGTGCTGTTGACAGGACTGTACACAGGGTAGCTTAGAACTGGAATAGTAGCAGATGGTACAGACCAGAGATTAAAGGCATTAGAAAAGTTCTCAGTACCACAGCAAGAGGGAATACCCCAGGAGTTACACACCCCAAAACTGAATGGAACTGGCAGACAGAACTGGAGACAGAACTGGAATCAACAGATATTGCGGAGGTGAGGCGTGAGCTACTTAAGCAGAGCTGGTAATGGGGAAGGAAGAGCAATTTTAATCTTAAAGATGTAGCAGAAAATGGAAACAAGGACTCTCTCTCAGCCACCCTGAGAGGAACCCAGAAATGGAATAGCAGGTAGTGTTGCAGGTCAAGACTGCACTGGCAAGGCACTGTGTGCAGATCGAAAGACTGGAATAGCAGGATTTGCTGCTACAGGTTATAATGGAGAAGGCAGGGTGGATAAAATAAGCCACAGTATAAATCCCTAAGCCTCAGAAAAATATATAAACAGACTAATAACAATTTAGTCAAGAGATAGAAGGAAAAAAACCCCATAAGGCTGAAATAACCATCTCCTGATTTCTCTCTGTCACCTCAAACCTTCTCACCTATAATCATTTAAAGAACAGAAAAGAAAAAAAAGAAAAAAGAACTTACCCAAACCACCCAAAACCATAAAAAAGAAAAAAGAAAAAAAAGCAAACCTTAACAGGCTCCAGGAATCTTTAACACCCCCTTATTCCTCCTCTTTGCCCCCCCCCCCCCCCAAAAAAATCAACTCCGCCCAATCTACTCTTGGAGAACTTCTGACTTGATTGAAACTGACTAATCAGACCAGACCCTCCCTCAGCTTGTCTTTTATGATTGGCTGACAGGAATACAGATTGTGAATATCAAAGACTGGGGGGGGGGAAGGGGAAAGAGGAGGAATAAGGGGGTGTTAAAGATGTTTCTTAAGATCTTTAGATTAAAAAGAAGAAACAGCAGCAGTGTGGTCTCTGGCAATAAGAGTGTCAGCTCATCAGAGACGGAGTGTGTTGATTTTTCTCTTTCAAATGCTTGAGAGGACTTTCAACTATACCGACAGTTATGACTACTACTTTTCCACGGAGAGTCCTAAAGAGTACTGTGAAACTCTGCAGGTGCCATATATGGAAATTTTCCTTCCTATTCTATATGCCACCATGTTCCTGGTGGGAATTATCGGCAATTCCATCCTCATGGGAGCCCTAGTCTTCAAACTGGGAGCCCGGAGGCTGATTGACATCATTATCATCAACTTAGCTGCCTCAGACTTTATTTTCCTCCTTACATTGCCATTCTGGGTGGACCAGGAGATATGGCTGGGGGTTTGGAGGTCAGGCTCCTTTCTCTGCAAGGGCAGTTCCTACATCATCTCAGTCAACATGTATTGCAGTGTCTTCCTCCTCACTTGCATGAGTGGTGACCGCTATCTGGCCATCATGCACCCCACTGTAGCCAGGAAAGTCAGAACAAGATTTTATACTAATGGACTCTGCACCTGTATTTGGCTTCTCTCCTGCCTCCTCGGGCTTCCCACTCTGCTATCCAGAGAACTGAGGCAATATAATGACCAGCCTTACTGCGCACAAGTGGAGCTCACACAGGCTCAACGGACTGTGTCACTGGTAATATTAATTCTGGCCTTCTTTTTCCCCTTGGTGAGTATCTTGACCTTCTACTGCTCCATCACCAAGAAGCTCTGCATGCATTATCAAAAGTCTGGGAAACATGACAAAAAGCTGAGGAAATCTATCAAGATTGTCTTCATTGTAGTGGCCGCCTTTGTTTTCTCCTGGATCCCCTACAACATTTTCAAGCTTCTGGCTATCATCTCTGACCTCCAGGACCTGAAGCCACCTTCCTGCTTTCCTTATGTTCTTGCCCAAGCAGGCATGGAAGTGAGCAGTCCCTTTGCATTTGCCAACAGCTGTGCCAACCCTTTCATCTATTACTGTTTTGATGGTTATATCCGCAGGACCATCTCACGGTGCCTGTGTCCATGGATGAAGGTCCACAGCGTTGGGAGCAGTTCTGACGCAATGGATACTCGCACCAACTTCTCTTTGTCCACTTTTATTCATGGGGAGGATGCTATTAGGAAACGGAGACATTCTGTGTCATTCTGAAAGGAGCTGGGACTTTTGAAGGAGACATTTCTTCCAATTACAGGTGATGGGGGAAGAAAGGTCAACAGAAAAAAAGCATGAAGGCAAAACCAAAAAACAACAAACAAACAACAACAAAAAACAGTAACATGTGTGAGGGAGAACGGAATCAAGAGAATGAGTGAGTGTATGTACAATGGTAGCTCTTCTAGTTATAGAGAAAAACATTGTTAATTTCCTTTAATGATAAAGTAATAACTGGAATTTAACACCGTAACTATATAAATTACTGCAAATTCCTGCAGATCACTGTGTAATTGTAATTGAGCAGATCTAAAACTAGTCTATAGGAAAATACACACAAATGCTTAAAATCAGTATCCTGATGTACTGCACAAATAACTTTAGAGCAACCCACCAAATTCAGAACTGGCTTGTCTCACTGAGGAAGCCTGTAGACTGAAATGCATAAGGGTCTCATGAGAGTTAGGTAAATCATTAATACAGAATTTGTTGCACTTCCTTTTCTCTTCTGTTCATGGAAAATCCATCAAGTAGTCATGATTCTTGTAAAATGTATTTGCTATTTAATATTTGCTGAGGTTTTGGTTTTTGTGAATTTTGTTTATTCAATACCAGTGTCACCAGCTTGTACAATTTTATCAAAAACCTCACAGTTTTGGGGTTTTTCTTAAATTCCTAGCTTCTGGAAGCATGAAATTATGGAAGAATCTTAGCTTTCATTTAAAATAAGTTTCCAGCCCTCACAGTGGCAGAGAAAAAAGCTGGAAAATATGACCAAGTGTAAGTTGGAGGTTCAGTGCTAAACATCAAACAAGAAGAACCTATTTATTATTTTCATAAAATATTATGATTATGATGAGAATCATGATATTTTGGGACCTGACTCATGATTTCTGAATGCTTGAGTTGGCAATACTGTGCTGTTCAAAATTCAACTTGCGCTCCTTACCTTCGTTAAGTCATTTAACTGGTCACAGCATATTGTTACAGTTCTCAAATTGGAGGAGTGCAACTGTTGCAATTAGGTTTCTGGGGCAGATATTCACGCAAAACAAAATTAAAATGTGTGTTCCACAGTTACTTGGATGTTTGTGTTTGCAATTGATTTTCTGTGAGCATTCATGCTAGCAAGATTCAGTTGTATGAATGTGCATAGATGAGAACACAAAAGGAGCAGAGAGTTAGTTTGTTAAAAAAGGTTTGTGAAAAATCACAGAAAACAGCAGTTGCAAGGTTTTCATTTTTGGTGGTGGTTAGACCACCTAGAGATCTTTTAGAAATGCCTATACTCTAGAAGTGCACATGTAACAACCACATCGATGGTCTGACTAATGCCACCTCCGATACTTTTTTGTCACTGTAAGCAAACCTGGAAAAGCATGTCAATGCCACAGATTGGGATTACAAATTTTGTAAAGCCAATTTATTTAATATTTTTTTCAATTTTCTCCTCCTTTTTTAACTTTAAAGGGTCAGTCATATAAATACCCACTCCCTAAAAGGTAGCATGATAGGTTTATTTATACTGTTAAAATGATAAGAGCTAAGGTTCTACCAGAAATGTTAACTCATTTGTGTTGTAACATGTCCCATACTCCTGCTTTTTTGTTTGGTTGTTTGTTGTTAAGTGCTTGGCTTAATCTATATGTCATAAACTTGTATAAAGCTACCAGGATTTGCAATGTTTAGAGATTGCAGTTTGAAGGATTAGAAACTTCACTTTTGAATTCCCTGAGTTTTTACAGTATTACTTTTCTTTTGCCTTTTTAGATCCAAAACTAGTCATTGCAAAAGCCACAATAGGTTTTAGAGAGCAGAAATCATTTGATAATCGTCAACATATGCCAAAAGAAACACGTTGCAATTCATGATTTTCAAGATAAGTAAAGAGGACTTTAAGATGTTTACAACTTTTTAAGGTGAAGAGATTGCAAATCTGCAACAGAAGGAGATCATCCTGAACATGACATGTGTTTTAAAAAAACAACAGCTTCCATGATATTCCTCTATTATACTGCAAGTGCTTATAATTAATGGGGTAGCAATCATAAGAATATAAGAACGGCCATCTTTAGGGCTCTTTAAAAAAAAATTCCAATAGTGAAACTTATACTAGATACTGGGGTGGAAAAAAATGCCCAAAATTAAGCTGGTACAAAAGGGTGCTCTAATGGCCTGGAGGATTAAGCTATAGAACTTCCATTAATTTTAATAGAAGCTGTGTGGTAGGGTTGCCAGATGGTTTCAACAAAAATACCGGACACACTTGACATTACATCACAATCTACAATAACATCTTATTTAGAAAATACTGGACATTTTTATTTTCTCAATTTGTTTCCCAAACAGAAAGCTCAAATACTGGACTGTCCAGTTCAAAACCAGACACCTGGCAACCCTACGTGTGGCTAAAATCCCTAGACACTATGAAAAATATCAACAACTGAATTAACTTTTTTCTTCTTAGAATCTGCCTCTTCTTCCCCCTTTTCCGATATCCCTACCAAACACATTTTCCCTTTCTCTCTGTCTTTATACTCTCCCACAATTCCTTCTTTTTGTGTCCCATTTTTGGCATTTGATTCCTTTCCCTCCGCTCCCTTTTTCAGTCACACAGACCAAGTACAAACCCTCTATTTTCAAACATACAGCAGTTGAAATATGGGACAGCTTCACCTCAGATTCTAATCTCCGTCACATCAAAAATCCCTTGAGCACACCATCTCTCTGATCTAAACAAGTCTTCTACCACACTGCACGAACACCCAAGACCAGGAACAAATACAGAAGCATGGAAACAGTAGACCAATACAGATTTCTCAAGAATACCTCTGCTTTTATCAGCTCATACTTATTAGGAGACGTAATTTGTTATAAAAAAAGAAGGCTGAAACCTCTAGACCAGGAAGCCTAGTCATTATTTATATTCCACAAGAATTGTGTGGGATATTTGCCTTAAAAAAAAGCAATACAGGTAATTCTTTATGTCAGATTCCCATTATACCAATTATTTCCCTTAGTCTCTTCATCCACATGAAGTATAGTCTAATTTTATTCCAGAGAGTTTGCTAAGAATAACTCTAATAAATTTCAACTTCAGGTTATTTTTTTCCTCTTGAAAGCTTTAAAAAAAATGTCAGAGTTTAAACTATTCTACCTCTAAAAATCTGCCATGGTTGCTTTCACAATGAATGCAAGACTGCCTCTAATACAAAAGAATGAGCTCACAAAACATTACAAAAATTGAGCAGGTCTTTCAAAAAAGACACTGAAAGTTTAGTTTAATGGTATAAAAAAGTGAAAAGAGGGGGGGGAAACAGTCCAACAAAACAAAACACTTTACACTTACATTTTTATTGGGCACAAGACATTTTATAATAATACACTTTGAGCATGGTTATTTCACTCAGTGTGTGAAGTTGATGGTATGTTTTTTTCCATTTAAACAATATTTATCTTAAATCATGACAACAGCAATTTTGTTTCTTCATTATTTCTACTCATGCATGTAAGAACCTGTCTTTTTATGAGTTTTCATAGCACTTTGTAAGCCTACAGTGATGGATAAATGTTAGTGATTTCAAATGTCGTTTAGCCAGCTCGGATGAGTAATGCATCTGATCTTTGTTATGAGCGATATAGTGATTAGAGAGGTGGTTTAGAAATTATGCAATTGCTGTAAGCCCCAACTGCAACTTTTTAAAGTAATTTGTATTGTTTGTTTTTAATTTGCATAATTAAAATAAAAAAAACATGTAAAAGAATGTGGTAAGGATGAACTTTTTTAAAACCTATTTCTTTCTTCTTTTTAATTACAATTAAAACAAATGGGAAGTATTTTCAGTTCCATGGGCAAAGATCTTGTGTGACTACTGTTTCATTTTATAGTAACTTAATTTTGGAAAAAAATGCAGCAATTTAATAGTTATTAAGTTGCCAGATAATTACAGAGCTGGTTGAAAAATACAAATAGTGACTTGAGATTGTTTTCAGAAGGACCAGTGGGAGGTCAGTTTGCTATTATTTGAGTAAGAAAGAAAAGGAGGGCGGTTAAGGTACTGGCGGCATCCCGCGCCTCTCAGGCTTTGCTCCAGGTGTCCCTGGTCTGCTGGAGACGGTCCCCAGCAGACCAGGGGCACCCGGAGCAAAGCCTGAGAGGCGCGGGATGCCGCCGCCGCTGCGGCTTTGCTCCCGGTGTCCCTAGTCTGCTGGAGACGGTCCCCAGCAGCCCAGAGGCACCGGGAGCAAAGCGGCAGCGGCGGCGGAGTCCCGCGCCTCTGAGGCTTTGCCAGAGCAAAGCCTCAGAGGCGCGGGACTCCGCCGCCGCTGCCGCTTTGCTCCCGGTGTCCCTAGTCTGCTGGAGACGGTCCCCAGCAGACCAGAGGCACCCGGAGCAGCTTTTCTCGCCCCAGAGGTCGAGGTGGCGGGGCCGCTGCGCTCTGGGCGGTCCCGCTGCCTGCGAGCTCCAGGGCGAGAAAGTCCCGTTCGTAAGTGCAGATCCGACATAAATCGGATCCGCGTAACTCGGGAACTGCCTGTAATCATTACCATGCAAATCTGAAGTTACTGCATCATAAATGCTACTTATGGTTCAACAGCAACTAATTGTGCAGTTTTTTAACGTGGGCATCTCAATAAGACACCCATAACCCAGTGTTAGAAGTTCAGGTGAGCATACATACCTGGACTTTCAGACAACCGTGAGGAATTAGCTATCGTAAATTAGCCATACTCAAACAGCCAAACAAACACGTTATTCAGGCTAACTAGCCACACTTAATGGCCAAATAGCTACAAAGTGTGTTGGACACCATGATCCTCCAGTAACATAATAGCGCATAACAATTATACCAACAACTTCCTCTAATTTCTAAAAACTTTTCTTCTGAGTTAGAGAAAAGAATCTAAATCTAAGGCTCCCATTGCTACTCCGAATCGTTCAAGTTATTAGACAAGGTGCTTTTATTGTTAAATCATTTCCTAAAGCACGCGGGATTAAGCAACAGGCAAGTCAACCATTAGTGGAGAACATTTCTCTAATTTAAAATTGAGATTGCTGCTTTATTTGGGGTCGTAAAGCCAAGAATTTCAAACTTGATTAGTGATTTTGGATGCCTCAATTTCGAGTGCCCAGCTTAAGATATCTCAAAGTGGACTGATTCTGAATGTGCTAATTTTGGAAATCTAAGAATTTCATTGACCAAATGAAATGCTGAATCTTTGAATCTTGGTATGCAGATATTAATAATACAAGATCTGAAAGAGGGTTAGCCTTTCTTTTACCTCTGACCTGAAGCAGAGGAAAACCAAACTGTGAAACTGTGTGGCACGTTGGTAAGTTAGAGAATGAAATTTGGTCAGTGGTTTCATACTCAATTCAAACCTTTAGTTTGCCCCAAAATGGAT